AAGCAAGTTTTTTACGTCTTTTGATCAGAAAACGAGCAAAGGTCACTAAAGCAATTTTGTAGAGCATGTCAAGATCTATCATACTCTAAAGGTTTATGAGAAAATAAATTTGTTTATAATAAGTCCAATAACTTGAGAGAAAGACGTCGAAAACTGATGGAAAAAAAGTCCTTAATTTCGACAGATTCACCAAAATTGGTGTATGACTACGTGTAAGATAAAAACTAATTTTCATTTCAATAGGCTGATGAATTTTGACGATTTTCCACGACATTATTTTGGGCTTTATAAAAATTCAATTTTTTAAGCCTGGGTCCCACTCGGGTATTCGAGAAATTTTTTTGTCTTTGTTCCACTTATGATCTTCATAAATTGATAGAACAGAATGTACTGATTACGAATATCATAATTATTTTCAATATTAATCGAATAATAAGAGATATCTTGAACATTTTTGAAAGGTTCAAAAATCAGGGTGTGGGTGTGGGTGTGGTTGTGAATGTTACTTTGATATCGAGACACCCACACCCAAAACTGATTCCAAATGAAGTCTTTTACATCGCTTAGGTACTAATATGAAGGGTGTGGATGTGGGGGTGGATGTATGGGTGTGGGTATATGGGTGTGAGTACAGGATTCTATTCACCCACACCCACACCCACAGCCACACTGTTACGGTTAGATGTATATCTTTTCTGTGCGTATTGTTGTACGCTAACTTTATTTAACAAGAATGTCCTTAACTTCTATGGATGACATGTACACATAGAGAGAAGAGAGAGAAGAGAAAAGAAAACAGTTCAAGGTCAAAGAAGATGATAGATAATAGAGGATCACATATATATATATATATCAAGCATGTATACGTGCGACATCACTGTAACATACTCCCATATTGGATGAAAAATGTGTTCTATCAACATTTTTATATAGAAATGAAAGTAACAAACAAAACAACGACTAGATATGAATACTATAATATAATCAAGAAAAGAAAAGAAAATGTGTATAACGAACACATCAAGGTATAGAAAACGTTTTGACTTGTTAAACAATCAATGGGTTAAATGTATCTGATCAAGTTTCAAATAGAAAATATCGAGAGAAAAATAACAGAATATAACGAGAAAACCAACAAAAAATGTAACGACTTTTCATATAAATTAACAGTAAATTAAGTATAAATGTGACACAGTAAACGATTATTCTACACATTTATATATATGAAGAAAATAAACAAAAGTTCATACGTTTATTATGCCAGTAGTAGTAGGTTCAGCTTGTTTGATTACGATGCTGATAACCATTACGTCGATCATCTTTATAATTAGATGATCTATATACATGTTTGTATTGTTTATAATATGTATTTGTAAATAATTGTTTGATTTGTTCTTTATATTTTGATAATAGATTTTCGTTTTTTATTCCAATATACAGTGATTTTTTATTTGTTGTTGGTGATATTGAAGTATTGATGGCGCAAAACTTAATATTATGTTTTCGAAGAATATTTTTAATATTTGTAATTGTAAAACGTTTATCTATATCACGTTGTATGATTTCATGTTTATATGATCGTTGTCGTTGTTTCAATGTATTACTACGATTATGGATTTTTTTTCTTTCTTGAATAGTTAATGGGTTACGTTGTTTAGTATGTAATGGTTCACGTTGTTGTTGTTCACCATTATCATCAGATGAGACAGCTCCTAAATCATTCATGTTGTCATTTGTGGTTTGAATTAATACTGTTATAGCTGATGGTGCTTGATTTGATTGTTGTTGTGACATATTAATTGTTGTTGGAATATTTGATGCATGTGGACTTGGTGGAGTTAAATCATTCGATATCATTATATCAATTTCATTTAAAGAATAAACAATTAATTCTTGACTAGTAATTCAATTCAATTTAAGAAGCAGTTGTTGCATCGACAAACAATCATACGCCGCATATTGAGTTATTGATTGACGATATTCAAGTTCGCTTGAATTAAAATGATATAAATGTGGATCGCGACCAATGTCAAAACTTGATTTGGTTTTACGTTTGTCTAACCATTGATGTAATTCATAAGCCACAGCATTCTGCAAAGATCAAGTGTTGTTAGACTGTAATTCTAAACATGATTCACATATACATTCTGAATCATTTGTTGATGATGAAGATATTAATTGATGTGGATGTTTTCTATTCCAGTAGTTTTTAAATTCACCTTGAAGATTTTTATCCTTGAATAAATTAATATCATCACGTGTAAATAGATTAAAAGAAAGAAAAGCATCGAGTTCATTTTTATTTCCCCAAATAAAAATCTTGTTATCAACATCAAATAATGTTTGAAAGCATGTTTGGATTAGTTGGAACGTTGGTTGATTTGTAGGTGGCAAATGGCAAACTTCAATAAAAATTACATATGAAAATGAATAAGATAAAATAATTTGAATTTGAATCAATGCTGGTTTGTTCGGTTTATAAGGAATAATTATTGATTCTGTATCAAGTGTAAATATTGCTGATGATTTAACTTGTTCAATAAGATAATGTAATGTTGAATCGGTTGTTCGAAAATTTATAAAAAATTGTTCGTAATTCGACGGTTGAAAAGGTGGATATGTTGTAGCTAATTCATGTTCATGAAATTTCTTTTTAAATGTAGTACGAAGGCGTTGCCGTGGTGGGCCAGTAATTGTTGCTGGTATATGATCAAGCTGCCATTTAATTTTGTCATATTCTGTTGTAGATAACGTGACTACAATAGAAAAATTATATTTAATATTTATCGATTCACTAAATAGTGAATCTAAATTTAATGTTGATCGATTCTCATTAGACATAGAAATCTATGATTAATAATATCAATGAGATAGTGAGAAAAAAAATGATTTCATTTATCCTATATAGTATGACTCAGTGTGGGATATGCCAATAAGAGCGATACGAGATTTCATATTCTATCTCGATGCTCAGTGATCAAGTGAGGATCTGACAGAAATAATTAAATTAAATATTTAATCAATAAATAAAATTTCGTATCATAAAATAATAATAATAATTAAATATATTCCAAATTAAATATAATAGCCCTTCATAATCAGTGAATTGAGGAAATTCACATTCCTCGATCATGCTATGCTAAATCATATCTCATCAGGTTAATCTAATAACAATTAATTATTCCATTGTATTTGACATTTTTTTTGAACGGATCTCTATGTGAGAGGTCCTGTTATTGATAATTTCGTTCAAATATGGGAACTAACACGTCAGTTGTAACTTGACGATATAGTGTTGACTTTTTGACGTGTTGAATAATGAATGTTTTAGGTGTAAGTTCTTTAATAATTCTAAATGGTCCTTCGTAACGAAGATCGAAATTATAACGGATGTTGAGTGCTTTACAAAGAACTAAGTCACCGATGTTCTATGTAGGATTTGCACGATTTACATCATAACGTTGTTTATATTTTTCTTGGTTCTTAAGGCCTCCCCCCCACTCAAAAAAAGCCAAATTTCGTCGAATTTATCGAAATTGCC